GTTGAAGAAATTTAGAGGTTATATAGCATAGTGTAACACATCTGGTGTTTTAAAATTCAAAGCGTTAGAGTATTATGCTCTCTGTTGAAATTTTAGTCAAAAATTAAAAGAAATACAAACCTGCTGATGGCAGTGCCATGCTGAAAACGTATTCAAACCCTACACATATCAGCAGGGTGACTCGAGGTGACTTTAAATGTCTGGATGTGCCTTGAGTTTGGTCCTTCAGATAATGGAAGCTGGCATGTCCCCTCCTTGGAACCCAAGGTCTGTAAGTGTTTTTTACAGTTTGGGCTTTAGGAGCTTTACTTGTGAGCCAGGTGAAAACTGTCCTTCTGCAGAAGAAGGTATTAGTAAATATAATTGTTTTTCAGCCCAGAATACAGATGCTTTGCTGCACAAAGGGCTACTAAAAGCAGCCTGTTGCAGAATATTAAAAAAAATGCATGTAGAAATTGATAAACTCAGCCCCAAAAATTCACCAAATGAACAAGCAAATAATTGCAAAAGCCATTTGGATAAGGGGCTGTCAAACCCTAAGCAGAAAGATAAGAATGATGGGGGTTTAGAAGGTGGGGCTATTACTACAATATGTAAGCACTACACATCAGCTGCAAGCAAAAAAAGAAGCAGAGATACTCCTTGCTTAAATACTTTATTGATAAGCAAGATGTAGGTCATTAGACATTGAATCTGATCTGTTACCACATTATAGTGTCCCATTTAACTTCAGAGAACTGGAACTATTTTGCTGGTTCTCTTTAGCCAGTATCTGTTTATTGAATTGTCATCCTTGTAAATGAGTGTGTAGCACAGCTGCTGAGCCTGTTATCTTTTCCATGGAAATCACCTGGAGGTTTTTTATAAGGCCCCTATCTCTTTCTTCAGCTCAGTCAGTGGTGAAATCCTTTCTTGTGTTACAAACCACTGTCAAACTAAAGATGGCTTGTGCTGAGCCAGCTGAGCTGAGTGGGGATGAGGTTAAACATGGACCACCATGGCAATATAGAGAGATGCCCACAGTTTCATCCAAATTCACTCTGGCTGGACGCTGTGATATCAGAGCAGAAAGTGCCTGAAAAGTTCTACACAGATCTTGGTGTTGAATTTTTTCAGATTAGTCAACTGCCAAACTGTCAAGCTCAAAGCAAGCAAGCAGCCCTGTAGCTGGAGACTGTCAGTTCCCTCTGTGACTGAGGGCCCTGTAAGCTGGGTCAGCTGAACCTGGGATATGGGACCTCAGTTGATGTGTTTTTCCTGGGTCATACAAAGGAAATTTTTCTCATTAACTCATTCTGTCATTCAGTTATGGATACTGTTTTTTATGAGTTTTTTTCTTGCTGCTCTTCATTTTATGACATTAATTTGGCACTATCAGCAGCTCAATCATATTAATGTCAACCAATTAGAGATAATGTGTGTGGGCACTGTTGGCACTGCTGCATTAGATAACTGTAATTTCATTCTGTGGTCAGGTATTGTAGTGGTTTTCTTGTTAGTCTTTGAAATGTTCATAATAATCTGTTCATAATAATGAATAAAGTGACATGAAAATGTGGTAGCTTAAATCATTCTTATAAGATACAAAATAATTACATTTTAATTCCTTTTATTTCCATGTTTTTTCCCCCCTCATTCTAGCTGTTCCTTGCATCAAGAATGGCTGCAGCTCTGGACAAATAACATTAGGTCATGGGGGCAGTTTTTACACAGTTAAGCCATATGGTTTTTGTTCTGTGTCCTGCTTGTTGGGAGCGCAGGTTCTTGGGTCTTCTGCTCCTCAGTGTGGCCTCTGACCATGACTTTGTCATTGTGTATCTCAGTTGCTTTGGCTCCTGACTTCTCCTTGCTATACTTCCAAAGTCTTAAGGCTGTGATCTTATAAAATCAGGTTTCAACGGATGCCTCCTTCGGACCCTGTACTTGGTCCTTCCTCATCGTGGCTGGAAAACTCTTTTGGAAAGTCCAATGATTTTTCCCAAGCCATCTCATGTCCAAGGCCTGGCCTGATTATTATCCTGTTCTATTTTTCCAAGTGGTTCTTGGATTTTCCTTTGCATTAACCTGTTTGCATTAGGCTGGGAAGAGGCTTTCACAAAGCATGGCTGGGAGCTGTGATTTGGTGATAAAATCAGGCTGCCCAGTGAGTCTCAGGGGGGTGGTCACAGGAACAGAGTGGCATGGTGCTGGCACGGGCAACCTGAGGTGAAAATTCTGTGAAGGAGGTAGGACTTGATGCTTGTCAGAGCTCTTAACAAGTAAATGTAGTAATCTAAAGTAGTTCTCTGTCTCTCTTCACAAATGAGACTTTTTATCTGTTGATTCTAAGAAGTAACTGTTCCCAGATCCAAAATAGAAGCATAGTTATTGTTCCCAAGACCCCTTTTTTCCCCTCTAGAATAAGAACATTTTTCTTGTACCATCTTCCTTTTTCATTAACTTTTTTAAGTATTTCCTTCTCTTTAATTATTCTTTTTTTTTGGTCATAAAAAGGGACAACTACATCCATATAATATGCAACTTGCGCTTAAAAAGATATTTTTATTATGTCATCTCTGAAAGAATTCACTTATTCATAGCAAGTCTGTGTGTTTTCATGGCAACCTGGCAATTCTTACTTTTTTGTATTTATTAAGTATAACAAAAGATTTGGTTCTTTTGCATTCATTATTTAAAAGATTACTCACACTCATTTTGAGAACTAAAAAAAATTCCACAAAACACAAATTTTTGCTTAATTTTTTGTCTGAGTCTTAAAAACAGAGTACAGCATTTGTCCAAAATGACATTACTCCTAAGACAGTGATGACAAATGTATTTTTATACTTGGAAAAATTAGTATGTCTTACATTCACCCTGCAACAACTGGGTTAGTCTGGCATACTTTTTTCCAGAGCTGTTGAGGGATTTGTTTAGCCCAATAGGATTTGTATTGATTTCTATTTCGCTGCTTTTTTTTTTTTTGGTGATCTTTATTCCTGGGGTTTTTTCTTGTATTGATTCTGAAAGCTTTAGCCATTTGGGTTATTACAAATGTTGCTATATTTATGCTGTAATTCTACTACAATAACCAAGTCAGACTTTCACAGACTTTCATGCACACACACCCAACATAAAAAGATGCACACACAAGCAAAACTGGACTTTCAACTGGCTTGCTGAAATCTGAAGTCTCTGAAATGAGCTTACTGTATTTTTTTTTCCACAGATGATTTTTTATGTGAGACAGGAATATTAATCTATAGTATTAATTGGTAGTTGTTGAACGCTATTTCCCATTCCACTTAGACCAAAATTTCAAATATATATTTTAGGTAAGCCAGTGAGCTCTGGTTTATGCCCTATCTGAATATTTAATCTATGTGGACCAAAGAGCTGTATAAATATGAGACCATTTCAAAAGAAATTCAAGTATTCTTGTAAATAAAAGCAACTATAAGAAGACAAAAAAAGTTTTAATAAAAGTTTAAAAAGAAGGTTTTCTGGTTGACTTGCTTAACATAAGCAAGTTTTCTTAAATTAATAAAATTATCAAGATAAACTCTAGCCATTCTAGCAAATCCCAGATTTCTGTTTCATCAATTAAACTCAGAAATATCCCTGCTTTAGTTGTCTGTAGATGTTTTGATATGTAACTGTATTATTTTGGATTTGATCAAAACCCACAAGCAGCAGTTGCCTAACTTTAAAAGTCAGATGTTCCCATAGAAGTCTGTGGGACTAAATTGTTTAAAATCAAGCAATCTTAAGAGGATCTTTCTTAGGGAAGAGACAAAAAAATGAGTCTTATAAGGATGTCAGCTCCAACAGCACTGGTTATTAAGAATGATAATTTCAAGCACTTGGAATTATACTAGCTAACCCAGTGGATCAGAGGACTGTTTGATACCAGTGCTGCAGATCAAACCTTGCCAAACTTCAAACTGCAGCTGTGTTCCAAGAGGAAAAACTTTCTCCATCTAAGGCAGAATTTGGTTGGCTTCCAAAAGTGATTTATTCCTCTCTTCTTAATAAAACATCTTTTGCACTTTTATGTGTGACTGACACTCGCTGTAGCTTGGAGGGCTCAGGGTGTAGAAAAACAAGTGAAGAGCAATTATCCATCCCACCCCCAGGCGGTGAAAAATATTTGCACACGCAGTGGGATGTGATGAGACAATGGCCACAGAGTGGACTGAGGCTGAGGAGAGTGAATGCTCTTACATGGTTTTGCTGTAAGCACCTGAAAGATAAAGTCAGCTCCCGCTGTGGGGTTGGGAACTGCTGTTACAGTTATACATCCTACGTGCTGGAGTGAATAGGAATTCTGATTCAACCCTCTAGAAATGTGGACTTTTCATTTGGCATAAGGTTTTATCTTTGCTCTCAAGTGCTGAAGTTGGCACCCAGTACTTTGTGGGTTGTGGGAGAGTGAGAAAGGATTTTTTGTTTTATCAGAAGGCAAGTGCTAAGTAATAGACTGGCTTACTACCACTGGGGACACCAAGAGCTCAGTAGATTTGCAAATTTTCTGGACCATCAAGCTGTGCTGCTGGAGCTAAGTTATTTCAGGGAGTTCATTACAGAACTGAATTGTTGAGGAATAAATGAAATAGTCACAGCTCCTGTTAAGAGCTATTGATGATAATAGCAGTCTTCCTCTCAAATAAGACCGTGTCACCACCTTTAAAAATAGGAAACCATTCATTAGAAAAACAGCACATAAAGAATAGAGCTAGAAATGTAGGAACTGGGCCTTATGTATAGTTTACCAGGTACTGTGGTCCTTGGGCCACAAAGAGGAACCTATAGAGGGACAGCTGTTGAATGTGAAAATAAAACAAAGGCTTACCCTCATTTCTAAATGAATCAAATTTTATTTTAATGAAAAGTAAAGGCAAATACAAACTGTGAATTAATCAAACAAAAAAAATAAACAAATCTGATAGAACCTGAATAAAAATATTTAAAAATTCTCAGATTTGCTTCTATGACACTCCATACTATATACCACATATTATTCATTTCCCTGAAGACTTCTTTTGTGATAAATTCTGGAAAAGAAAAGGAATGAAATTGTAAAAAAGGAAACCTTATAAGTTTAGTATGTTTTTTACAGAAAAATTTTTAAACATTGAGCTGTTTAATTTTTGTTTTTGAAAAAAAAAATGAAAAAAGTAACAAAGTACAAGTCACATTACTTCAACAGAAACTTGAAACTGATTATAAGAGTGAGTAATGCAAATTTCTCAGGACTGTCATTCTGCTTGATGGTAGTGGCAGCTGTGTCTTCATACAGCTCAATTAGGGACTCTAAAATGAACCTTTAAAACCTCTTTGTTTCCCAAAAGGGACTTCAAAATATTTTTTCTCTTTGTATTGTGACACAGACTGGCGATCAAGAAATTTGAAGCTAGGACTGACATTTAGAGAAAAATGTTTAAGTAAGTTTTTGTAAGGAATTTGTGAGTGGACAAAATAAAATACTAGATGAAAGGATGTTATCATCTTGTTTCTCCTTACTGCCGTCTTCCATTTAACTGGCAGATGGAGGTAAAGGTTAATTTAGCTCCTAAATGCATAATCTTTTGCAGCTTTCAATATACTGAAGATTTATGGAAGTCCCCCCAGCACATCTTTCTTGTGCTAAAAGCATATCTTTAAATACTTCTTTGTGCTTTCCTTTTCTGTAGAAATTGTATTCCTGAAGTTTTGGAAATAAACTGCAACAAATGAATATTGGAATGTGTCTGCAACAAGAGGTTGTTTAGGCATGTGCACAGTATAAAAATCTGCTTATCTAAAACCACTGCTAATCATCCTAAAGGACACCTTAAAAACTAAAATTATCAAACACTTAAAATATATAATGAAAATGGCATACCATTTGCAGAATTTCAATTTCTGTTTGAAGAGTCTCACAGACACTTTCCCAGCTATCATCTTTGCATTTTTCCAATTCTTTCTTAAGTCTGTGTCCAAAAGCAAATAAATTTTCAGGTCAGAGAACTGTTGCTGGGTAACTATTCTTCAGCCTTGGTCCCAGTTCTCAATTTGACTTGCCTGAGAAAAGCCTCATTGATCTATTTTCCTGGTCAGGATTTAAGTTTGCTAGTTAGACAAATTTCTGGACTGTGTTCTTTCCATAAACTGCAAAAGATATATGGCCTCATTAGTCATCATTTTCCTTATTTAAACTTGTGAATTGGAATGGTGGTACTTAGAAAGCACCATATGTTATCATTCTTATCTTCCTTCCCTGGATGTCTTCTTGTAGCCTCTGCTGCAGACAGAATGTTGGTTAGAAGGGTGCTCTGCCTGCCCTTGTGCCAGCATTGCTCCACACCCCTCCACAGACTCCCCAGCTTTTGTTCCTCTTCTCCCTGGTGCTCCCACTATTCCTCAGCACTTACTGTTTCCCAATACTCTCAGCCAGGAGTTCTCCAGCTTTTCTACAATAAGGATTATTTATAATATAGATATTTATATAAATGATATTTTTATATATTTCTTCATTCAAAAGACTGCTTAGTCCTGCTAAAAGGAGATACCTCAACTCTGCACATCAGTGACTGTAGTGGTTTACATTAATACTTGGTAGGCCCAGAGAAATCTATGGCAGAGCTTTCAGTAGTCTGATAAATACAAGGTGATGAGATTATACTGGCTCTTTTCATGGCTGTCAGAAGAAAAGTATAATGACAAAGATAAAGTTGTTTACCCTTAATACAGTTTCAGGCAGCAATCTGAATATTCTGGAACAGACAAACAGACTGAAAATATTCTTCTTGCCATTAAATAGCTAAACCAATGCATTAAAGCTTGGTTCTTCTGAAGTTGAAACAGAAGGTAGCAACTATTTTTGCTTTTATATACTATAATAGACAATAAATTATTTGACCTTATAGAGATGATGTACCTCTTTAGCTGCCATAGTGCAAAGAGGGTGGGTTTCCTACACAGAAAATGGCTTCATTGAGAGGTATATCTTTAAACAGAGGAATAGCTTAGTCACTGTGCAGCTCTAGAATAACAGACTAAGACTGGACTGGAAGTTAATTTTGCTGTTCCTGTGGAAAACACAAATATCTTACCATCAATATGGAAAAAGCATGAGCTCTATGTGCTTGCATTATGAAGGAGTAAATGCCCCTTCTTACAGAAATATTTCTCATAATGCTTACAAGAATTGAAAAGGAAATTTGGAACTACACTTTAAGAAGTGAAATTTTCACTGCACTCTAGTGCATTGTTAGTTTTCAGCCCATTTCATTGAGAGAAGTTCACTTCAAGGTCTAAGATCAGCTTGTGATCTTGACCCAATCTGCTTAACTTCATTGCCTTGTCTCTGCATTTTTCTCTCTGTGTTCTCTGCTAGTGTGATATTAGAACCCTAATTTGCTGTGACAAACAGAAGCCCTACTTTGTTTAATTTACTTTAGGAAAAGACAGGGTCTTAGAGAAAATGCTCTCCCATTGTCTTCCACGCTGCAAAACTGATTCACAGCCTGTTCGCTACTTGTTAGCTAAGAATGATGCCAGTCCATGCTAGGTCCACATTAGGGACAGAACAAGCAGAAGATAAGCAGTAGGAGTTGCTTATCTGTGCCTTGGGATTGTGAATTAAATTTTGTTCTTGATGTTTTTTGAAACTAACATTTTGTGTATGGACTTTAAAATTTTATTTTGAATATTTTATAAAACTTTTAAAAGTAGTGACAGCACAATTCCTTACATAGCATCAGGTAGTGGTGATACAAGAGATTCAAATGTGGTGTTTAATTCTTACATTAATCAATTGATCTGCTTTCAGGTCTTCCTTCTTTCTTATTTAGAAGCTAGATAATTACAGTATGTGCCAGGAATATTATACTCACAAAATAAGAGCTGTCTGTTAGGTTACAGTCTACAAAATTAATGCATTGGAGATGCCCGAGTTACTGAATAAATGATGAAGTTTTACCAGAAGGAATGTGAGACAATGGAACTATTAAAAAAAAAAAAGTTTAACCTGAAAGCAGATTTTGTTTTTTCATTTTACATTTAAGATAAGCAGGATATTCATATTCATCTTTCCACTATCAGATTGAATGTGCAAACCAATTATTCATGAAACTATACAGTCTAGATGGAAGGTAGGTTTTCTGTCACCTTTGAAAATGGAAAAAGATGTAATTTTTGCTAAAACAGGGATTAATTTGACAATGATACCCTTTATATGGCTATGAAAAAAGGCAGATCTCTTAGGAAAAATAATCTGAAAAATCACATTAGCATTTGGCTCCCCCTGTCCATTGGTTTTGTTTTATTTTTAGTATTTTGTTCTCATTGCTGACAATAAAATATAGCTTTAAAATAAGTCATTGCAGTGGACTAACAGTGTCTTGGCAAGTTACAGTATCACAGGCTCTAATGAACAGCTGGAGCTGAAATGCCACATTTGCAATAGCCTAGCCTTAAATCAAGTGGGTGGGACAACAACATCAGCATTTTTTGGATGCTATCTTGTCCTAAACCTAGCTCTGCTATCAATGGCCAATTTTCCATTAGTCTTGAATGCTAAAAGTGACAGAGATGAAGAAGAAGGAGATCACTGAAGATGATCGATTTTGCAGCTCTGAAATGAGCCCAGCTATTAAATGTCATTGGCATTTGTGGCTGATACACATTCTTCTTGAATTTCAGCTCTATATGCACATGGCAAAGAGGAAAAATAATTTGAAATCAATACATGCTGGTATTATAAATTGAACTATGAAGAAAATAATGTTATTGTCAAACAGGTCTCTCTGCAAATCATCCATAGATTCAAATTACTGGATCAAGACTTTAGTATCCTAAACTTGCATTCCAAGATTAATTTTATGTGAAGAGGTCTTAAAGGAGAAGTAATTTCTGTAGAAGGTAGGGTTAATATGTGATTTTAGAGTCTATTTTTTTTTTCTAGTGGGACTGAAAGACCATACCTAATTGTTGTTGGAGTTGTAGACTATCTATTAGTTATGTTTTGCTGACACAAGTACAATCTTTTTTCTGTATTCTCTTTTTTGTCTTTGCCTTGTTTACAACCACCATTTTATTTTTTAATCCTAAATTTGAGGGAAAACATTGTGGTGTGTTATAAAACAGAATTGCTTGACACTGATATACAGGGCATAGAATTCATGGTACAAAATGAAATTCCTTAAGAAATTATATATAACTAGAGAGTACATGTCTTGATTTTGTGGGATTTCATCATGAACATCAGGAGATACATTTATCAATGTTGTAAGACTTTATTGGGACAGAAGAAAAGTATTGAAGACTTTAGTTTATTGTCCCAGGATCAAGTAGAGGTAAGACAGAGGTAGTTTTCTGTCAGTTCAACACTGGGATTAAATTAATGCATATGTTTCTACAGTGAGAGCAAGATTTTGCTGGTATTTACAATTTGCTGACACTACTAAAAGAGAATATGCTATTGATACAGTTGAAGAAGTCAATAAATTTTAACTATTATCAATTGATTGAGGAAGAGGGAAAACAAGTCTTAAATGGATTCAGTATCCCAAAATATAGTCAAGTACTTGAGTTACACAATTAAATATAAAAGTCTGTGTTTGATGGAGCAGAAGGATAATAAAATTAGGCGAGTGATCTAATAGTAATAATAAAGTCTAGCAAGAAGATGAAACATGAACACAAGGTATTAGACAACATAACAATGGAAATTAAATGTATATTAAAATAAGTTGATCTTCCTTAAGTAAAATAAGAAATTTTCTGCTTTTGCTGTCCTGGATAAAATGTTAAATATAAAATACATAGCTACCATTGATTAAAGCTTGCTTTTTGTGAATGCTGTCCAGCAGAGATAGATAAGAGTAGTTAGGAGTCTTTTAAACTGTGGTGATATTTTCCAAACACATAAAACATCACAAGACATATTTAAGGAATATATAATAATAGGTGAATAAACATGGAAAGGTTAAGGCACACTAAAATTGTACATCTAGGATGAGATTTGCTTTTGTGCAGACAGCAAACCAAAGTTGTGTGGACTATTTTTCATTGGAACTATAAAAATGAGCTACATAGGAAAAAAAATTCAAGCATGTATGTGAGATGTGAAATGAAATGTGTTTCTAGGGGTCAATAAGATTCCTATTGAATGGCAAGGAAAGTAAATAGGGGTCAATGGTTCTTCTAGTTCAATTCTCTTGATTTCTCTATTGGACAGAGAAAATTAGATCTTAATCTAGGTATATTAATATGGCTACTGTATTGCTGAAATTAATATCTCTATTATGTACTGCTTTCTTCATGTGCATAATACACTAAGAGCTAAAAAGGATTTAGAATTGTCCTTGTTTCATTCTGCTTTATGGGCTCTCCATGCTCTGCTCATCTTCCAGGTTGAATTAATCTTTTTTGACAAGTAGGTGAGAGATTTGTAAAAAGTATTCTCACACCCTCCTGGTATTTTTTTTGGAAATAATTCTTTCTTCTTTTTTTTTATCTTATCCACAGCTATATTTCTTTTTATGTTTATAGCTGTATTTTGTGCACACAGTATGCTCAGACCTCTCTGCTTCCAGGTACCTGTTATTGAAGTCCCTAATTGTACAAGTAGGTAAACTTAACTGTACATAATTATATTCCTCCTCTTTTTAGTGACTTTTCTGCAAGGTGTAGAGTTTAATTGCTTAAGATAATGTTGTCTAAAAACGCTTTCTATTCTAAAGTCATTAATTAAAACATTAAGCAAGACCAGCTGTGACTGTTGTTACTTTGAATCCCAGAATTTTGAGTTGCAGGTCTATGACTGTTGTCACTATTACTCATTTCTTTATTTAATTTTTTTTAATATGCCTTCCCTAGGTTAACTAGTATTTTTCCATGTGGGATAACATCAAATATTTTATGTCTAGATGGATGGCATTGGAATTTTCTTTGTCTAACCTAATCTGTTGTCTTATCAAAGAATGGCATCATTAGTCAGATTTGATCTACTTTTTGTAAATCCATACTGCAATTCATAATGGAAAGCTATTTTAACATAATTCAAGCTATAATAGTTCCACTAGGCACTGCTATTAAAAAGAAAAGCTCAAAAAAATCAATGAGGAGATTGCCATTGAAAAACTCATTTTGAACCACATATATTACTCCAGAGACTGATATTTTCTGATTATAAAATTTAACATCAAATTAAATTGCAAAAAAAAAAAAAAATCCACCAGAAGCATGCATGGGGCTTAGGCAGTCTGTTTTTTGCATGAACAATTTGTTGAGCTCTAAGGAATTTATTTCCTGTATGATTTGTATGAAAAAAAATTACTTTTTCCTTCCTAATTTTGGTAATGGAGTTTCTTTTTCTGGATTATGAAGAATAAGAAGGAATACTATATTTTTAGGATTTAGACACATATACAAAGATGTGAACTATTTACAAAGTAAGCAGATTTCATGCATTTCCTTTCTGCTAGTTCTTTTCTAAATAGAAGAGAAATTCAGGTTTCAAAGAAGCATTTTATCCTTATTTTACCTTTTAAATAGGTTGAAAGATACCTATTTTAGGTAGAAATTCTCTGGCTTAGTCTAAATAAACTTCAACTAAAATTATTTCTAGGCTGTTTTACTTAAGGCAAGACAAAAATATAAAATCAAAATGTGAAAGAGGATAAATAATTAATAGAGTAATTTCAACAAATATAACAGTGAAATGCCATAGTTAGGAATTCACTGGTATCAGTTAATCTCTGTTTGACTCCTGTATTGTTCCACTTAAATGAAGTTACTCGCTACCTGCCAGGGAAATGGGACTCCAGAGAGCTGATGCCAAAGTTTTTTCCTGCTGTTTTGTGTGTGAGGATGGCATTGGCAGAACAGATGATTAAAACAAGGCTTTTGATCTTAATTGCAGCTCTCTTTGGGGGTGGAAAAAAGAAGAAAATAAAAAAAAAAGAAAAAGAAAACACCAAACAAAAAACCATAAACCCCACATTTCTTAAAAATTTCTCTGTATTATGTGCCTGTATCATGAGACTTGCATTTTCCAAAGTGCCTGTTATCTATATCTGTGCTTAACATTCCAACTCTGGTTGGCTTTTTTCTGTATCCAGTGAGTATCAGGACAAGCCTCTCCAGCAGCCCCAACAGCTGCTGGAATTAGCAGTGCGTGCTTCTCATGACCCTTTGCAATTCTTTGATGGATTTGAGAGAAATTTTATGAAACTGCAGACTCGGTATGGGGCATTTTTCTCAGATCAAAGATGAATTGCTGTAATTTGAATTAGCTGGCTGCGCTCTTCAGCTGAAACGCAATTTACTTTTAGATATATACTTAATTGCAATGAAGATTCTTGCCTTGCCAGCTACTTTGATATTGATTTCTAAGCTAGGACTAGGGATGTGATACACTAACAGACTTGCAGGGTGATCTGGGAGCTACATATATCAGGTTATTGAAGCTGACTGTCTCTCATGCTTGTTCTAAGGAAGCATCAAGAAAAAAAGGTATTTTTACCACTTAAAGAGTGGTGTGGTTTCCAGCTCTGTAAAAAATAAAATCATATTCTGTGCTTATTACATAGGGAAAAAAACCCCAGTTTTCTGACCCACATTATGTGTGTCAAAATATTATCATCTTTATGTGTAATAAAATGATTTTCAGTGAAAACTAGAATTCTATTCTTGCAATAAACTCTGTATGGGGATACAGAAACTGATCTCGTTAGGCTAAAATAGGTTGTTTCTCAGACACAGAAGATTCAATCATATTGATTTTAACATGACCAAAATTGACTCCTGTTAAGATGTACACAAGTATATCAGTGTATCTCAAGAAGGAGAACCTTCAGGGATCAAAACAATGCAACCTCTCTGAGCAAGCTGTGCCTCCTCATGATAAAAATGATTTTTCCTTAAATTCACTCTAAATCCTGCTTTTTGCCTTTTGTTCTTTTACTGTGCAGCACTGTGCAGATCCTGGCTCCATCCTCTTGGTGATCCAAAGGTACCAGAGAGTGATCAGATACCTTCCAGGGGACTTTTTACATGCTGCATTATTTACAGTGTGTAATACTTTAAATCCCCTTTCATTCTCTTAATTCACTAGTCCAAACCAGAAGTGATGAGTAGGATTTGTTAAATTGAAAAAAATCTTGAACTGCTAGAGTTGTATGAATCTGACAAAGTTTGGGATGGTTCTAAAGAGCCCAGCAGTGACATGGAAAGGTAGACAAATGAGGATTGCCTGCTTGGCTCCACTGAAAAGCAGGATCTATTAGTGCTGACATAGAAAGACAGTAGCACATCTCTATTGCTTCTGGCATCTGAGTTAACTTTTTCAGGGCTATCTCTCTCCATGAAGCATTGAGCTTTTCTGATCAAAAGCAAGTGCAAGATAAAAATATGATTTAGGGAAATCTGTCCTAAATTTTTCCCAGTATCTGAAATGAAAAAAATGTTTCAATTTTAAGAAAATGTGTTCAGTATATTACTAGACTTCAGGAAAGGCTTGCATTTTGTGATAGTGGTAATAGCATAGGAGCACTTTATATTTTGAACTACATGCAATTATCAAATAATGTTAGCTTATCTTGACCATAAAAGGAGGCATTTCATGAAATGAGAAAACCTCATCATCCTTCTTGCTTTGGTTGTAAATGACACTTGCTGATTTTGCAGTTAATAGAATTTAATATGATTTATCCAGTTTTCCACCCAGAGAAAACCAAAGTGTCATTCTATAGAGCTTTGAGTTAATTTCACTACAGAGAAAGACAGACACACACGGATTTCATTGATCCCTAGGATCTCAGGGGCAGAATTGAGGATTAAAAGTATGATAACATTGGCTACTTCTATACCTTCCACACAGGAAACCTATTATAGAAAACTAATTACACAAATTTGGACATTCAGTGGCATCATGGCAGTAAACTACTGCAAGGGAACTATGTTAGTTGGAAGGAAGCTGACAGCCCCATGTATCACCAACCCCAATATATCATGATTGAATGAATAATGTAAAGGAGTGAATTATAACACACTGTCCTGGAGAATTGTTATTGTTATTATTATTTACACTGTGTCTTCTATGTATATGTTGAATGCAAATTTTTTGCTACTGTATGCAGGATTGTGAGCTAATTAATTTTTATGCTGAGGGGATTTTGGCCATGTCTCAACACCATGTAAGAGGTTGAAGAGAGTTAGTAATAGGGCTGATATATCATTTTCTTTCAAAAACTGATATTCAGCAAAAAATGGGTCATTACAAAATCGTCTTTCAGAAAATTGCTCCGGGTTCTCTGCAAAGTTATAACTTTCCATTGGAAGTTTCAGATTAAAAAAATTCCCACTTCATTTATTTATTTTTTATCAAAAGCTTAGGGATATGTAGGAAAACCTACACAACACAGGTTGTGTTTTTCTTAATTGCTGTTAGAAAATCTTTTGGACTAGCTTTATAAAGAGGAGTTCCTTTGCATTGTCTATTAAATTTTTTTAAATAATCCCAGGCACTTTCATCTGGGCCATAACAAAATAGGAAAAGATGGTCAATTCTGAGATATTTGGCTTTCTGCATTCAGAGATTTTTTTTTTGTTTTTTTAAAAGAAAACATATTATTTTCTGTGAAGCAAAAACCTAATGTTTCACTTAAGCAAACTGACACGAAATAAAATGTTACCACTTAGATCCTGAGAAGAAAACTTCACTGTTAAGGAAGACTGTGCAGGGTCTTCTCTTCTGTCTTGGTTAATTCTTCAATATTTTTTTTTTAAACCAGCTTAATTATAAGGCAAACTAGAAGTCATGGCAGAGATCATAGAGAAAATAAAGTTTTAGTTTTAGTTGCATTTAGTTGCTCCAATAGAAGCCAAAGGAGGTTACTGTGGCCAGCCCAGGCCATTGCAATGGACTATACACAGCCAGGCAGCAGACTTAAGTTTAGGACTGGGCAGTTCATCAGTATTTTGTGCACCACAACCATTTTCACAAGACCTCAGGAAGTGATCTTCCACCCAAGCAGCAGTTTATTCTTCCTCTGGGTTTGACTGACATCTCTGCAAACATCTGCAATTTTGGGTTCACTGGATTATGTATGTAAGGGTGAAATGCTGTAATCAACAGCACCTGGTGTTGTCTAATAAAAAATGAATGGTTTTTCTGATTTCAGAGGAATATTGTACATGAAAGGTAAAATAGTCATTGTTACCAGGACTAGACTGCTGTGACAGTCCTAAAATTAAATTAAGAACTAATTAACATGAGGCTTTTACCTTAAACATTCAGGATCAGTCTGAGGTTTTTCAGTGACTTGAACTTTTTCTTCTTCTAGATGTTTTGTCATTCTTTCAGCTTCCCTGATTGCTTTCTCAAGGTCTAAACATGAAATCAGAATTACCCTATAAATACATATATTAATCATTCATATTCAAAGACCTTCTACATATTCTAAATTTATATTTTCTAATATTTCTTCATGAAACTCTTTGAAGGGTAAAGGCATCTAAATAAAGAAAATGAATTATTTTATTATTATTGCAATCACATATTGCAATCTAGAAAATTTCGCTCCTTTCACAAACAATTTAGGACCACACTGCTTTTCTTAGCTCTTACTGTGACACATTACTTTGATATCAGTAAAAAAAGATACTAAAGCACTCATTTACATTATTTTAATTCAGATTTCAAAATATTCCCTATTGCTGTGATCACCTTTGACATGAAAGATTTTAAACCATATTTATGTTGATTTTAAGTTCTCTGAAATATTAAATTCTACATTTAAGTATGTGAATTACCAGCAAAAGCAAAACTTTCTTTCCTATTCACAGCTCATGATTCAGCAGATCTCTGGACCTCAATATCAATGACATTTCAATTAAATCCCATTGAAATCCATAATATTTTTAATAATCATGTTTAAAAATTATGTATTACATATTGTAAAAATAAATTAAAATATTGTTACTCTGACTTCTTTCGCTTGAGAAAAGAAAATTGATGGAAAACATTTTTCAAAAGCATTTGTCAAGCCACAAATAATTATCAAAAGAAATAGTTATCAGGCACACCTTTGAGCTCACTTTGGAGAGCAAATAAATCCTGCTTTAATTCATCCTTCTGCAGCTGGAGTTCATTTACCTGAACATTTTTATGTTCCATTGACTCCATTTCTAAGAAAAAATACATTTTAAATTAAAATGCATTGCTGTTTTAGCATTCATGATACAATCTTAAATATTCTTAACTACTTCTACCAATCTTCAGCTAGTCAAAAGAACCTTAAATATAAAACCAAAATAAACTAAAATAATTCATATTTAACACAGCTCACAGGAAATTATATGTTGTATAATGAATTCATAGCTATGAAAGAAAATTATGTTTTTAATGTTATTAGCTGTTCAACATATTTTGTTGTCAGGGCATAAAAAGAATGGTTTGCTTTAGAGTTAATGCAGCTATAAAGAAAGGAAGATGGCTGATTGAATAGGTGGAGAACAGACACCTCTCAGCAGGACTGAAAAAAAACCCTTCTTAGTATTTTTGGTGTTATATATATTTGACCTTTACTATTAGACAGCATCTGGAATTAATTTTGATTGTTTTTCTACCAACTGGAGGTCCTCGCATAATTTCCTTGTTATGAGTTGCTTAAACTTTTCACTTCAGAGTTTTCAGTGTGATCAGGAATGTAGCAAACAAAAAGACAAGCTGTACCTCAAGAAAGGTGAAATTCAAGGATGGAACTGAGATGGCAACTGTACTTAGAGAAGATTTTTTGTCATTCTTCAGGTACTACTGATCATTTAACTGCCCAGCTCTGCCTGAATATGTAAAAATTAAATGCTAAAAGTAGCACTTGACACCAAATACAGACTTTTCAGTTGTAGATTAGAATTGTATCATAGCCACAGGAAATAAGAAAGGTGGTGTTACCTAGTGCAAACTCCAGTGGACAGTCCTTTTTTAGAAACCTTACAGCAGCTATGGGGAATTGAAAGAGCTGTTGCTTGACAGTTCATGAGGCTGTAATGGACTTTGAGGGGTCATCTACTGCATTCTTCTCCTGAAGGCAGGATCAGCTGTACCTTTCATTTCTGAAAAATGCTGGTTTCACCTTTTTTCAAAAAACTTTGGTAATGGACACTCCTAACTCCTTTGGTAGTGGAACCTCCAAAGGCAGAGAGCTTCAGTTTTCCACTGTTGTTAGAAAGATTCCCAAGCTGTCAGACAGACTCACCCTTACTGTGCTTAACACTGGTTACTTTTTATTCAGTTCATTATAGGTATAGAGAATATATTTATTTCCTTTTTACAGGATACTTAAACGGTTTGAAGACTTATAGCCATCTTTCATTAGTCTTTTCCTTAATAGCTTAAATAGTCACAATTCTTTCATTTTCTTCCTTCTCATCTGCTCCAGAACTGTGATCACTCTCACTGGTCATATGTAGATTCTCTCCAGCTGGTCCACATTTTTTTTTTTTTAAGTTCAAGATCAAAATGAGCTGCACATCACTCCAGCTCAGAGCTTAACTGCCCCAAATAGTGAGGAATTATTTTCATGTGTTAGAGGTCAGAATTCTGTTTGTGTCTCAGTGTGGTGCTGGCATTCTGATGTCGTTGACTCACGTTCAGCCTGTGATCCATGACGACCCCGATTTCCTTGCAGAGGGACTGCCCTGCAGTGTGACCCTTTGCTCTGAGACATCTCCTACTCTGCATCTCAACAGACATTCAAGCTGCACTGTGGCAGTAAGGGACCAATCCTACAGGACATCTGCATATAATTCTTTTAAACCTAAGGAACTGTACAGAGCTTAGCCACAGGTGATCCTAAACCTAATTCAGTCTCTGTGTGTATGACTGTCAGCTCTGTGCTGGCTGAATTAGGCATTGGGAGCTGCCTCTTCAGGTTGGCTTCTTCTCCTCACAGTGCTCACATCAGAAACTTGAAGAGGATAAGGAACAGAAGAGTCTTTAATTATTCTTGGTATGTCAGACCACACTCTTTCAGCTCAGTGCTAAAAGGCAGCTCCAGACAGTGGGGGAATGAAATTAGAATTACTGGTTTGCACAGCTATATTTTATTGATTTGTGCTAATCCAAGATAAACTGGTTTAATATAAGACTTACCATTTTTCAACAGAGCTGCCTCATTCTCTAAATCATTTATTTCAGTCTTGACTTTCTTTTCAATAAGAAGATCTCTATTACTTGTTAGTCCATATTCATTGTTAAACTCTGTTACTTCTCTGGTAAAATTATCTTCCTCTTCAGTAATTTTTTTCTTTGCATCTGCCTGAAAAAAAAAGAAAGAGAAGACTAAATGTTCAGGTAAAATAAACGAAAGTCCTTGTTAAGCTAAACAGACTGAGACACACTGTTGTTTTTTATCTTTAAACTCATAGTAAGAAAGTCAATAGGTAAACAAAAAAATAAATGTAAAAGTAAAGAAAATATTTACTTTTTCTTACTAGAACATGAAAATAGTCTACAGCTCTATCATTATGCCTGTTGTTTTGAACTATTTTTCCATGTAAATATGAAGGGTCTATTCTTGATAACAGAGCATTTAAAAAATCACTACATTGTTATAGACTTGAACCAGCAGATTTTCAGTTTAACTCTCGTATTGAAACTAGAAAATTCTCTTCAATTTTCTAATAACATAGTGTGGCAGATTTTTTTAGCTTGTTATTAAACTAAATAAAAGTGTTATTTAACCCTCTGCAGAATGTAGACATACTTTAACTGCCATATGACTACCAAGAATTCTCTTGTTGATAGAAAATCACAGTTTCATTTTCTGGGAAAAAAAGTATTCAAAATAGTAAGGTTATATTAAATTCCTTCTAAGAAATCTGAATTGATTGCTAAATTGAATAAAACAAAATGACCCTATATGCAGGAAAAAAGAAAAGATAACTTATATATCAAACTTCACACAAGTACTGGGAATACTTTGGGTGATGCAGAAATATGATTTAGTTAAAAAGATATCTACCTAAAGATTTGGATTTAATACTGGCGATTTGAACTGAATGTTTAAAATTTAGCTCTGTTAATTTAAAGGGCAAATACATGTGCAGAAAAGACTCCTTGTCTGTGGCATTTCTTCATATTTACAGATCCAAGAAGCCTCAACAAAGTAAGAGGAAGGCAATATTCAGGTTAGCATCTGAGAAAACTGGAAAACTTGTTATAAGTACCTACCTTTTGAGGTGTGTCTGACATCAAAGAAATTGTGTGCTATGTCAGGATTGATAAACTGTCCACATTTGCTAAAATGTGGTGTGGGCCTCCCTGGGGTTTTCCTTTGATCCTTTTCAATATTTTTTACTGTGGATGAGGCAATCCAATTTAAGGCAATGCTTCCCTAGCTTACTTTTACAAAGGAAATAATCTGTCAGAATTTGAGTTCAATCATACAACAACAAGCATTAGAAAATTAAGTCAAGAATATAAAATCAGCTTTGGAGATAAAATGCAGCATACACTACCTTAGATCATGGTTTAAATTAAATGTGAGAATTTATCAACATTTGCATTGTTACATATACTAAAAGTAAAAAAAAAAAATAAAAAAATTCCTGATTTAAAACATTAGTTTTCCCAGATTTTCAAATTTCAAAGCTGATTTCTCTTGTCCAATAGGAAAGAGCTGTGTGAATATCACAGCTGGAAACATACCATGATTTTAAGAAGCCTGGCTCTTTGATTCACAAGTTCAGCTTTTTGTTTTTCTAAGCTGTCTTCACGTTTCTTCAGAATTTCTGCATTGAACTGCTTTACAGAAAGATGCTGAACCTTCCAAAAGGAAAAAAAAATAAATTATAAAGTAAGGTTATTGTTTTATTGTTTCATATCCTCTGTACACAAGGATCTTGGTCCAGTTTAGAAAGAGCTGGCAAAGCTGCTGGACTATGAAAAGCATAACAGCTCTTTTGTTCCCTCAATAACATTTGAGTGTACTGCTAAGATTTTGAAAAGTCTCCTTTCTTTGAAAGACTCATTTAGTGATGCTCTGTCTATCTAAAATGGCAGTTTAAAATCTGCTAGGTTTAGGAGAATTTTTTTTCCAGGAAAATGTTGACTATACGGGATCCTTTAGCCAACATAATCCACCATCTTCCATCTCATTGTGTAAAGTTCATCATAAACCAAATGAGACAATAATATCAGAATAATATCAGGGGGACAGGGGTCCAAGCATCCTGGTTTTGGCTGAGTGGCTGTACACGTCATCCACTCTGCAGTGCTACTATGGAATATGCAAAGGAGAGCAGAACATTTTTCTGAGCACAGTTTCTGGAATTTTTAGCTGAGGAAGGCCAATGGGAGTTAGCTTACTGGGTATTGACAGTTTGATCACAAACCCCCCAAGCCCTGAACTTTGTTTTTGTACAGTTATTAATTTTAACTATTAGTTTATCTGATAGGAGGGTGTGCTGTTACCCTGTTAATGCTATACCACTGCATTTCCAAAATTTGCTGAAGACTTCTCATTTTTCTAGCACATCTACTGTATCATTGTCTAACCTAAGTGCAGATATATGGTGGGAATAAACTATAACAGTAACAAATATGAAACAGCTACATGCTGTAGAGTATTAAAGGAGGAGAATAATTTATTTGATGGAGTGTCAAGTTCTCTTGACTCAGAGCAATGAATAGGGAAAGAAAAGTTATATTTGCCCACAGAGAGTAAAGACACAGGGTAAGTATCAGGAATTAAATTGAATAGTCAGGCTGATACATGAGTGTTTGTGTGTGTAGAAGCAGAAAAGACCAAATAAGAATGGTATTACAGTAGTAACAATGAAAATGTTTTAAAGTTAAATAATACACATGATTGTGGAGAGGGAGGTCATCTGATCAGAATCTGATCAGAGATGAAGTTCATCTGATCAAAACAGGAGGATAGTGGAATGAGCTGCCCAAAGATTAGAATGTGAGAGTTGGAAAGGATTTTTTCCTAGGCTTTTTCCTCATCCCTGATATATCCAGCATGCTAAGTGTGCAGGTCATGCTTGGTTCAGAATTTATTTTACATATTAATTCAAAGAGAGTGGGTGGTCTTGCACCACTGTATTTGTAATACTGTACATAACTAGCTTCAGTGAAGTTTCTCCATCTGAAAGATGCCAAATTCATCTGTGCATTCGCAACCAATTTTTTTTAAAGAAACCATTGAGCTACAAACAGCAAAATGCTGTAATTTGGATTCTAATTACATGCTACCTGGTTTTACAGAAGAGAGGGAAAAATTGCATTTCCTGGGACTCTTTGATTGACCAGAGGCAGTGTCTGTGAAATAAATGTCAAAAAACTTCTGAACTCAGTCTCATCATTTTGGTCAGGAATCAGCTGCTGTTTGTGCACATGGTTGGATATGTTTCTTAGAAAGATCTGCAGTTATCTGGTGTGGGATAAATTGAACAGCATTAGCTGAACAGCTTATTTAATATTATTTGAATTACATGAACTATTGCAGACATATGTAAACCTAATTCCTGTAGTGAAAAATAAATTACTTTAAATAATGTCAATAACTGTATAATTTTTAAACCTAAATACAGTCTGATTGAAATGCATTTTTCTATTCCACTACTTTTCTATATCATTTCCTATCTACAAATGAATCAATGGCAGACTAGGCAAGCAAGAAAAATGTATTTTTGTGGACATCAGTGAGAATATTATTAATACTGGTCAGTAAAGCACATAAAATTTAATTAGGAATAGTTCCTCAGCTCTTCCCATTAGTCATTTACAATAATGGCTCTACTCTCGGGACCTTCTGTGCCTACCACATAAACCTTGATTATAAATCACCTAGCATCAATAACAAATTAGTAGTATAAACATAAAATTGAGATGTTTGTAAATAAACTTATGAGTAAGACTACTGAGGACTTCACCTAACAAGCAACATCCAGATATAATCTGTGTTGGATAAATAAGTTACTATTTTAAAGCATCTTTGGGCTCTGAGATTGTGGCATACATAAATGTGAGCATCTGAATAACTGCCTGCATGATTATAGTCTCAATTTGCAACAAGTAAATATTTGTAAATGAGATCTATTCTGATCCCTTCTCAGTAATGTTGTTATTTATTTTATATAGACATCATGTATGTTATATAGAATATAATTATTATAATATATATATTATTTATATATATAATAGTTCTTTTACAAAAGGCAGAAGAGACTGTTTTAGGAAGGATAAAAGTCATCCCCCAAACATTTATTTTCTCAACTAGATGAGGCAATCTCCCAAAAGTTCTTGAAGTTGTTTATTTAAATGATAGGATCCAACAGCTCTGACTTCAAAGAAGGCTCCACATGCTTTCCTGTTGTGAACACACATTCTGTCAGCACAGATACTTAAGAGCACAGGGGAGGGCATTTAGACTTAATTTTCAGACACAAGCAAATGGATTTTTAAATAATTTGCAACCACAGGTGTTATTGGCGAAAAACTACAAAACTGGTTGCTTAATCTGAAAATACATCTGTAGTTTGATTAAATGGAAAGAGTAATAAAACCACTAAATAGATTCAGAAACTTTCCTCTGTCTTTGGCCTCCCTAGAAATACACTTAGGGCTTGTAAGCCTTAACTGTAAGCTCACATAAAGATTCAGTATATGACTCCAGATTCTATGAAATAAACACAGGGGATAGTTCCATATATGTTATGTGAAAATATGAATATACTAATATGAAATTTTAATAATTTTATTGTTACTAATGATAACAGTATATATTATTTATTAATTATAGTATTATTAATAGTATTGATAATATTAATAAATGGCATTGGGTGACCAAGGGATGGCTTCTGTACACTGGAGGAAAGGGCTGTAACAAGCTGCAGGACTGTTGAAATAGAGTATTTCACACCATGCCCCAAAAGTCAGCTTGCCCTGAACACAGCCAGGGGCCAGCCCCAAGGGTGAGATCTGTGGGAGGAAGGATGTTCATGGACACTTTTTTACTAAAAAAAGGCACAGTGCAGGTTTCCTCCATGCTGTGCTACTCAGCAGGTGAAGAACACTTCTTGAAAGTGCTTATGGATCTATTCCTGAAAGAATAGGCCATATATTTGTAAACATAATGTATTTTATTATTATGTACACTATAAATATGCCCACTCACCTTGGTTTCTAAGTTAATTTTTGCAGCGCTCAGCTCTTCTTTCATTTGGATAATTTTCTCATAACATCTATTTATGTCGCATTTAGCTGCAAGACAAGAAAAACCTGTAAGAGCAGGCTCTCAGTTTGTGGACATCACGTCCTTATAGAAAGGTGCTGGTGGCAAGACTCAGCCCTGCTGGCTCTGCTTTCCCCAGCACGAGTCCCCTCAGGACAGCCCCGTGGGCCTTGTCCTCAGGGAATGGGGAATGGGGATGGAAGGCCCTCAGGATGGCACCCATGGGGCCGACCTTGTTGGATGAAGCTCCTCTTCTCCCTCGCCTGCTTCTCCATGAACTGTATTTGCTGGAACAGAGCATCCAGGTTCATTCCTGTCCTCTTGCAGAGCCTGTGGGCTCTGTGGGCCGTGTTCCTTGGGAGGGCTCCAGAAGGGTCCCCACAGCTCTGCCCTCAGGCCTCGGCCTCCCTGGGCTGGGCTGGAGACGGAGGCCCAGGGACACGGCTGAGGGGACACGGGGACAGAGAGGGAGGTGAAGGCTGCAGAAATGGCAGTGAGAACAAAGCTCAAGCACAGGGAAATGCTAGGGGAGCCTACATGGAAAACATGGAATGGGAACAGGCTGGCAGGGAAGCTGCACAGTAGGAGCAGAAGATATTGGGTAAGGAAAAAGATGACACTGAATCACATCAAACTTGGGCACACCTGTCAAACTGGTTCTGACTCAGGATCTGGGGAGTTTTAGTCAAACAGCTCTGGCTTTTTTAATTCTCTCGGAATGTGTGCTCCATACTGGTTTTCTGTCATTCAGATGTTTTTCTCTACCACTAGTTCTTCCTACGGAGGGACCATCATCCTTTCTAAATGTTACATCTGCTCAGATTTACTTATCTTTTGAAGACTGATGTCTAACCTGAGAAGTTAAGGAAATAGGCTAAAATCTGCTATCAGTAAAGTTGACTCTATGGAACTTACAGTGATCACATTCAGCTGGGTTGTATTTCACCATGAGTGTAAAATGGGTAGTGTTTCTGTTCCAGTTAGTCCCAGTAAGCAAAGACCACAACACAGCCCATTATATGTTCTTCTGGAGAATAATTGTGTAAGAATTTACAATGCTCTGGGTTCCTGCAAAGTTCTGGTTTGTACATTACTGGATGGTACACCTGGAAATGTAAGCACCTGGTTGAAAATATAATTCACATTACAAGGTTTGCTTTTACATCTTGGGAAGGATTGACTCCATTCCCTGCAGAGGATAACTGTGTGAAGTTTGCCTACTTGCTTTGAGGCAGAAAAAGCTTGGAGGAATGAAACTTTATAGATTTCCAGACTTTTTAACACTGAAAAATATTAGTTGTGCATTGTTATAGTTTTCCTCAGAGGAGATACTGTCTTAGCATAGATTGCAGCAGCAAAGTTCAGAAATTAAAAAGTCTTTGACCATCAAAAACCACAACAATATACATGAGAGGACAAATGTGTCATTAATGTAAAAGCTATTCTAAGTCAGCAGAATGAAACAGAATTCTGGAAAATTCTTAAGTTATAGCATTTACTGCTTAAAAGGCACCATGTTACAGATTGTACTGTTAGAAAATGATGTTTTTTAAAAGAAAGACATTGCTCTAAGAAAATGTGGGTTCTGTTGAAATTTAAAACCCTGAAACTAGCACATTATGTTGCAGGAAATGCAATTATTTTTTTAAAATACCACAAAGTGCAACTGAGGGGGAAGAGTTCACAAAAGTGAATTTAGAAAATGTTTCAGAAGTGAAGCTTCCTACCCAAAGGTCAAAGGGAAAGCAGATGAGTCAAACAGGAACATTTGGTGATTGAGACAGTGATTTGTTACACAGGTCTGATGAGTCAAAAAGTCATTTTACAAAATTCAAGAAAATGAACTGCTCTATCAGTGGATCAAGGAGAAAATAAAATGAAACGCTTTCTTTGAAGTTTTTGAGACTTGACTGCTTTTGTGTTTGAAGCTGAGAAGTCTGCTGTAGGCTGGGATAGAGTTCAGTGTCACTTATTAAAGGAATGACTGTGTTTTGTGGAGGGTGCTTCATCGCCTCTAATTATGGCAAAGGAGCTGTTCTCCCTAGAAAGAGGAGTCTGACTCCAACCACACTTCTCACTGTCTGAGAATGACCATTCAGCACGATTAACAGTCCTCTAAGAGTTTCCTTCAGAAAAAAATTCTGTGGGACAAGCATTTGACATTAAGCTTCACAGTTTTTGACTCCTGCAGCAATTTGCTATGTGCTTGATTTTTATATGGTAAATTACTCACAATAATAACTCAGGATTATGTAAATTTAACCAAGCATGTGAAACATATACCAGTGATTTCAGAATCAGGATCAAATCCATCAGATCAAAGGTGAGCACTTGCTGGCTCCCATGGAAAGGGATGAGATGGCATGAACCTGGATGTTTCAGAATAAAAGTAAAACATGCACTACCTTTGCTCAACTCCAACTTTTGCAAAGCATAAGACCTTTGGTAGATCACTAGCTGCTAGAAAGGTGACTTTAATTTCATTCTGTCGGTCATATCAGTACATCCTAATCTTAATCTATATCTGTATCTTAATCACTGTGCTGTAATCAGGTCATGTCTTTTTAGTGTTCTTCAAAATTACTAATTGCCCTTCGTAATCAGGCTGCTGTGCTAATACTGAAGTTTCTTCTACAAGTTTCTTCTCTAGTTTGTGTAGGAAGGAGAAAAGAAAGATTTTTCTTGTCATTTCAAGACACTATAAAAAATTATTACTGTAACATTTCTAAATCATATACACTCTGATTGTTTCATAAATTGTTTTTCTAAAAGCCAAAAATAGAGGCAAAAGTGAAGAAGTGGAAGGGTGCAATTGATGCAATATGGTCTTCACCATAAGAAATGCATGATAAGAACTAGAAATTGTTTTATATTTAATTGATTATATTTACAAATAAATTTTGTCTTTTATTCTTAAGCACTGTTAGTATTTTTTCCATATACAAACTACACTGCTTACTTTTGAACAGTTTTATTTATAGCAAACCTTTTTACCAACCTACATCTCTCTGGTCTTCCTTTGCTCTTGGGGGTCTTTGTATTTGACAACTACTTTTGCCTACCTCACATGAAGGAATAAAGTCAAATTGTTCTGTGGCATGAATTCACAGCTGTCATTTTGCATTCAGCACTGAAGTTAACGCTTCCTTTAAAGGAAATAGCCTAAATATATGTGTGTGTGTATGTAAAAAACAAACAAAAAAAAATATATGAGAGTGCTCTAACAGCTTGGAATGTAATGCTGAGCAGAAATTCTATTGGAGAGAAACTACAAATGGTGAGAAACCGAAACCCAGTAATTATTTATCATAATCAGCATTAAAAAAATCACAGACTTATTAAAAATTTATTTTAAAATGCCACTTCTAAAACAGCAAGGCTTTAACTCTCTTGTTTAAAATTTAATTGAAATTGTTAAAATTGTGCAAGCAGTGTAACGTAGTGATATCAAATAAACAGTTTTTATTGTAAATCAAGAACATTTTGTGTGCTGGATCTCCTGCTCTTGCTGGCCACTTAACTATCTCAACTACTTCTGAAAACCTAGAGCAGGACAACAGAGAAGGGAAACATTAAAATGCAGCAACATCCTATAATTTATATCCTATCTCAAATTTCCTGAGGAACTCAGGCTAAGAACAGTCTAGTTTTTATCTCTGCAAGAGAGCAAACTGCTGACCCACAGGCTAGAAGCCCTCCATTTCTAGTAGAGTGCTCAGCAAGGCAGTCATGAATGGACACCCTGTTTCCTCCTTGTAATAGGAGGGAAATAGACTACAAAATTCATGTAATAAAATATAAAATAATGGGAAATAGAGAAATAAATCCCTGGAAAATTATATGGAAATGAGTATCATGAGAAATGAGAATGTTTCTCTTTGCCCCAATTCCCTGTTTTTTTTTCAGGTGAAAAAACTGTGAGTTACTGGAAAGCTCTGTGTGTTTATTAAAAATATTAAGCAGTAACACGCCTGGCTGCAATGGAGAATTAGTGATACCCTTTTGCACTTTGGTAGGAATGTAAACAACTTCACAACAGATGTTCTTTATAAGGAAAAAGTCTGCTATTTGCATTGTGATATCTCTGTTTGAGTCTTATATCCAAGATTTTGTTTAATTCCATCTGGAAAGGCTTCACTGGGATCCCTTTAGCTTACTAAAGCAAAGATTATTCTTTTATGGGTTTAAATCTAAGTTTTCAAATTTTTTGGGAAGAGAACACACCACCTGCTTTCTTTGCTGATTGGTTACTGTGCCACACTGTATCCAAGGTATCCACATTGTTCCTCTGCAGTGGTTTAGAGTCTTAAATACATTTCAGTTTTACTGGGTCAGAGTCTATCCTAAAACTTTTATACTCTGCTATTCTGTACTATTTGGATAAGCAAAAAATGAGGCTCTTGTTTTGAAACATATATCAGAGATATTGTTTATCTTGGCATAAGGGTAGTAACTTGCCTAATGAAGAAAAAAAATTCAGATCTGGAGTGTATGTCACAGTACAAAACACAGCCTTGGATTTGCATTTTCATGGTGAATTTTCTTTACTATTTATATGGGAAATTGTAGTTTGCTTTACATCAGTACTGGTTACCCTTAAGTTGGCACCCAATGCAAGTTATAACAGAAACAATGAATAAATACTTTTTATGTTATAATTGTTTGTATCTTCCATTTATGAGAGAGATTTTTTTTTTCATTTGATATTAGCAGAAATGTAAATAAGTTATCCATTATGGTGTAACATCCTATAAGAAGATGGGTAGTAGCATTAAATCCTCTGAAAAAAGGGCTGTTAAAGAAACACTTAGAGGACTGGGACCTTCATGCAAGAAAGTAATCTTAGATTGAAATGCATTAACCAGTCTGTTGAAAAGACTTTTTTTTAATTGATTAATTATGGTATGTTTTCAGTATTCCAGCTTAGCTCTTTTTGTCATATAAATTTTACCTTAATCATAGAAAAATATTAATAAACACCAAAGGAGAATGTAATAATTTTATAGTTAGTTAATCAAAGGAATTTTTTTCTGTTTCAATCAGTTCTCAGAAGTTCACATATAATCCTGCTAAATTATCAGGTGAGCAGCTGTCATTATTTCTTTTCATATATTTCAGATTTTTTTTAAAAAAATTGTTATTAAAGCTCTATTTCTACTTGATGCTGGACTTGTAGGAAAAAGAGTATGTGCAGATGACTGAAATGAAATGGCTTTATTGTCTTTATTCATAATAGGAGTGTTATTTAGTGTAAGTTAGATAACTTTTATCCTTCCACTGTATGCATTAAAGCCAAATGAGTTTCTTGAAC